TTTATATTTTTCTTTTTTAAAGTGTCATTTACCGTTGAGTGTCAATTTGAAGCACGAATGGACTTGACAAGTTCTTTATTACTGAGACTCCCTCGAAACCTTTCGCAATGTTACTGATAGAGCTCTAGATTAGAATATAAAGTATTCCCAAACGTTAAAAGGAAAATCTCAAGCCTTCAATATGCTTGCTGAAAAACTTACAAGTCACCATGTACGTAGCCCCATATTCCCTCAGTAGAGCCAGAGGCGATAACAATCGATGAAGTCACCATTAGAAGAGGAAATCCTAAAAAATAGTGAATTACTCCTAAATTTGTTAATATTCAGTGAAATGAACAACTTGTGCATTTATTTCACCTTTGACATCAATCGGACTGACATTGTGCATGTGATGGAAGTCTCTCGAACAATTAAGTTATTGCAAGCGAGATTTATGCATGTTAGGTACAACTTTCATTTAATTTAATTTTTCTGTATATTATGCATTTAGGATAACAGTTACTGCTGTATAGTGGTTTGGATACCTACCCCAGGAGAAAGCGTAGAGTAACTTCATTCTTACAACGGCGTTGTATACTTTAACCACCATGAGATACAAGTAGGCTCCCTCCATAAGCATCCAAGAAAATCCGGCCAGATAGAAATAGTGAATAGATACTGCCACAAAAATACAAGCTTCCTGTAAAACAAGAAAAGAAATTAGTTCAGCAATAATGTAAAATTTTAATCGTTATTTCAATTAGAAAGTGCCGTACACGCTCGTCACCTCGTTCTCCAATATGACATTTTACAACTAGAATTATTCCAGAACTTAAAAATGGTTTAGGCTACAGTGACAAACTTGAGATGTTTGTTGATTCCTCTTTCGTGGAATCAACAAACATCTCAGCAGGTTTCAGAGCGTGACGTGGCACCAAGATGGTAAAAGATTACATGTGACTTTGCAAACATAGCCGTGTCAATTTTCGAATCCCGACAAATCCAAAAGCACGCCATCCTAGATAAAAAAAGATAAGCTGATCGGTTTTGCACCTTTTTCAACTCCAAATCACGAAATTCGATTCTAAGAAGGCGAAATCGAAAGAATGTAAATGTTTTGCGTCGATACAGCCCATAGAAGGGCTCTAACGAGCGAATCGCTAATGGTAAGTTTACCCCACTAGGGTAAACTTTACCCGGCGGTAAACTGAAACAAACAAAGCACTCTGATTGGTCAATTCGGGTAAAAATTACCCTCATCTCGTAAATGTTTCTAGTGCATATTGTTTTTCATAAGGGCACAATGTTTTAGACATGTGTTCATGGTATTTGGAGGTATTCCTCATCATTCTGTTTTGCTCATACCACTGATCAACACTGGCAAGGTCCGCAGTTACTACCTCTTCCACTTTCTCTATCATAATGGTACTTAACTGTAAGCAAAGAATATCTATAACTGCCACGGGCGACTGATTCTTTAATTAATAAGGACAAACAACTCTAATGCAATTTTCAACACGAGTTTTGGAATGTTTAATTCCAATAACTGATGACGGCGGCCAGCACAGATTGAGGAGACAAACAAATGAGGCAAAACGACATGGTTAAAACTGCAAAGTTCTATATCAGTGAATGAAAACCTAATACTGTAACTAAGCTAAATACGCTTGAAAAGCCACAACAAAAACGATGAAAACTACATAATGCAAAACTTACATTTGTTGCAATAGTGTTGATTCCCTGCCTTAAGTGGCAAAATAGCTGTACAAAGCGAATGAGAGTGAGTGTTTCTTTGATCTCGTGAAGAGCCACGAGATTCTCATGGAATATTTTAATCCCAATACATGTTGGTTTAGAGCTATATTTTCCCTAACATATTTTTGTCAGTGATTAGTTTCACGTCAACGCGCTTTCGCAAATTTTCCATTGTTTTTCCAAAAGTACACCGTTATTCATAAGTTTGAAGAAATCTTTTTCAAAAGCATTCTTCTTTGAATTGAAATCAATGTATTGTTTGAGCCATGGACTCTGATCGAACTGAAGGATTCTATGTATTTTCTTCAATTTTAATCCTAAATTCAAATAATGCTGCAAGTTTCAGTAATGCAACACATTTTTCTTTGTCAGACCATGTGGGAGTCAGCTTTATAACTTGGCCAATGGTTATTCCATATTTTTTTCTGATATCACCACTGACAATAATCTGAATTAAAGCACCTCTTTGTTTAATTTTGACTTGTTCAGCAGGAACAAGATAACCATCATGAAGATCATGCCATTCTTTTGGGTATTCCAGGTCAACCTCAAGAATCATTCCTCCTTTACTTTCATCCAAAGGCATGTGTTCTGTTAAACTATGCTTGTCAATCTTTTTATAACTGAGCCATGTGAATGCACCACTTGGAAGATATTGTGACATTGCTCAACCATATAAATTACTGGCATCAATTAAGGTACTTAAAATATTTAGGTTTGCTCTTATCATAATCCTCCATGTATTTATTGTTGGCTTTTGCATATCTATTGGCAATGTAACTGGTACCAACACACATTCTCTTCTCAATAAACTGAAACATATCCACATCTGACATGAGTTCAAGCTTCACATCACTCACTTTTATCGTTGCATCGCAACTGAAACCAAGAGAAGTAAAATAATGACATGGATCTAGCTCATAATACTGTAAACATGTCTTTCTGAAGTTCTCAAACACATCAGCCAGCAACAACACATCAGACATCAAATACAAATCATGATATTCACCCATATTTTTTTACTTGAATGTCTTCCATACTTTTTGCACATTTTCCTATTTTGCATCGTTATGTGTTCACCGGTCAGAATACTGTAAAAACCATCTTTTGATGGAAGCTGTGTTAATCTTCAAATATTTCAAAGCTGTCCATATAATCATAAGGATGTACTCCCTTTTGTTTCATCAACTTGAATTTTTCATCTTTCTTAAACATTTGTTTCATATACTTGAAAGAATCTTCAGGAAGATTATCAGCAAGTTAAGCTACTGCTCATAAACTGGATACTATCAAATTATAGACACCAAATTCTTATTCAACACGAAAGCCATATACTTCTTCATGTTATTTGGAATGACATTTACATTCATTTTATTGTTCTCTAGCTACCAACTTACCAAGATTCTGCATGATGAAATGACTGTCATATCTTCTTAAAGTATGAAAAACAACTGGAAACTTCATATTTTTTATGTCAAGTTTTAGCTTCAAATTACAATCATAATGTGCTAATCCTCTGTATTTTCCAGTGAAATGACAATGATCTCTAACTCTGATGTCTTCACTGGTGTATTTCTCTCCACAAATATGACAACTTTTAGCTTTCTTGAACTTCCTTTCATCCTCATCAGTTATGTTCAAAGGTTTATTAAAATTTCTGAATGCCATCTCCTCACAATAATCAGTTTCTTCGAGCATTTGCCTCAAGAATTTCTCCACAGTATTCTCACCTCTAAAATAGTTCATATCTTTGCTGAGTTTATCATTATAACCACAAACCAATTTATAAGCACATCCACAATCTATGTTTCTGATAGGCTTCTGTAGAAGGGCTGCTATTGATAAGAAAATAGCCTCACAGTAGCCTCAACAGGAAAATAGCCTCACAATAGCCTCAAAATCAGCATAAATCACAAATTGAACAGGTATCTGTATGAACTCTTGAAAAAACTTGTTCAACCTTTTCTGGCATCTTAATCAATTGTTTACCATTTCTAATAATACAGTTCTCCTTGTGTTTATTCAACACACCTTCACAACTGAAACACTGTAGACAATACATACAAAAATGTTTCTTTTCCTTGTGTTTTGTCTGTTGTTACATCATTTTATCAAAATCTTTTATTAAAACAATGACTCTTCTCATCATCTGTTATCAACAGGTTCATTTCATTTTCAAATGTTTCATTTGAAATATATAAAGAGGAAATAATTTTTTTCTTCACAACCCACTTCAACAAACTTCAAACCTTTCGTTTGTTCAAGATTTTCTCTCACTATTTTGGTAACTCCACTTCTTGTAGATGCAAGTTGATTTAATGGACTGTTAGTATCTTTATTTCATATGATTTGGTAAACCCTTTTATTGCCTTTTTACCACATTAATCTTTATTCATTTTGGAGGAATTGGCAGCCTTTCTTCATCTCCAAAACCAACAGGTGGTAAAATGATATCATCATACCTAAAACTGATAGGTGGTGCAATTACATTGTCTTCATATTCTTGCACCATTTGCCTTACACTTTTTCTTGGAAGCACAACTTCAGGCTCAAAATCTTTCTGTTGTTTCAACAATAAATTAATCAACTCAGACTTCTTTGATTTTTTTTAGGCTTTTTCGATGCATATTATCTATACTATATGTTTCACTAATTTTTTCCTGACCCTCTCTAGACACCATAATTCTATAATATGTTTTTTTCTTGATGTTTTTCAAAATGTCCTGAGGGGCATAAAAACAAAAAAACAAAACTTTGTGGTGCCTCTGGTCAATCCTTGATTGCTTTTCACAAATCTCAATTGCATAATCATACTTAGTGATTCCATGACTAATTTTTAAAGTTGAACTCAATTTAAAACACAAGCATTATTTGGAACTGAAGTGGGGGGGAGAACTAAACTGGCATGAGTTATCTCAAAACATGCTTCACAAACATATGTTTTATGCAAATTAATGATAGGTTTCATTTTCAATTGACACCTTCATTACATTTGCGTCTTAATAACATTTGACCAATAATACAGCACTCTTTATATTTGCCTTGTTTTCAAGTCTGCTTCAACCATGTTAAGACACTATTTAAAATGTATCAGAACTTCAGAAAACAAGCTGGATATTGACCTAATAATATTCCCAATATTTTAGGGCATAAATGCTCATGTCCACAGCCCTGTGACAATCATTAGTAGCATCTTGTCATATGCTTCACATTTACTTACTTGGCTATGCATTCCCCATTAACTTTTATCCCATTTGCTCATCTATTGGGAGCGGAAAGGTCAATTTAGATCTCAGCCGTTTCCATGTTAAACTATAGCATGTGTGGCAAAAAATGCCTCTATTTTGAAACATATACCAAAATGGTCAGGAGGTCTTTCTCCATCAGAATCAAGCATCAGACCTTTTCTGTGGCGATGGTTCAAAGAAACTCATTTTTTTCAGCATCTGCTCCCTGACTATACAATATTCAGTTGAATATTTTGGTTACTACCTACAGTGGTCCCTTTCTATGTAAGCACATGCAATCACCAACGAATCTTGAAAAAGCTACTTTGTATCAAAGAAAAAATTCATTTCACGTATTTATTCAAATATCTCTCTCGAAAACAAGTTCCAAATATTCCCAAGTTACTGTTTCAAGAAACAAAATTCCTGTTGGCATGTCAACAGTGAACATCATGCACACCACAACAGGCCACCCCTTGTCGAGCTCATGCACTTTAAGGGCCTTGCAGCAAACAAAACAATCCATTGTAGTCATTTTGCAACTCCAACTGAATAAAAATCCTACTAATACCACCAGTATTTTCTTCCCTTGACATACCCTTAACAATAGGGCCCTTTCGATATACTTGGCCGCGCTTTCCTGAGAACTAGAAATGAGCATGTAATCGAGGCTTAGAGGACACTTAAGATGGCTGTCAGCTCTGGTGCGGGCATTTTTAGTACTAAATCGGTACCTTGGCTAAAAGAATACTTAAAACAACGAGGCATTCAAAGCTCAGGAAAGCGTATGGCTGAACTAATAGAACTTTGTGTAAAAAGTGAGGAGATAAAAGTCCCGAAAATCTCAGAAGAAGAAGAGCCAGTCGATCCAGCAATTTCAATGAAAGAGCAACTGAAAACTACCGATGAAGGGTACTTGACCAATCCGTTGAACAAGGAATATCAGGCTTTTGGTAAATGGACCCAAAATTTTTCAAACATATCAGACTTTAGATTTCCTGATCTTTTCAATTATCTTGTGGGAAAGGATCCCGGATATAACGCCGAAAGCTTAAAAAGTTACAAATCTCTTTTGGGATACAAGTTGTTCTTCGATGGACACGTAGAAGACCTTCGTTATCATCCACCACAACCTAGTACCAGTAGTTACAGTTAAAAGTTTCCTTGAAGAATTCTAAAGTCCTTAAGTCGTCCAATAGCACGTTCTACGTGGATCCGAACACTTGCAATGGCACGGGTAGATTTTACTGCCTTTTTGGAAAGTTGTTTTCCTAAGTAAAAAGAGAGATTTCACATAAGGAAATGCCAACTTGAGAAGCTACTGATAGTGAAGTACTTGCTGCTTTTTCCTTCAAAGCTATTTATGAACACCTTATGCTATAGTTGAATTTAACTTTGTATCAATTTAATCAGTTATAAATATCAAAGCACCTAGAAAAGAGATCAAGTATGATAGGAACTGGAACTGCGGCCTTTTCAAACAAATTTTTGAGATACAGTTAAAGTAATGGTTTACACATGTATCTCCCTGATGAGAAGCTTGACTCTACCATGAATAAAAATTACTGATAACAATTTGTACTGTTGTTTAAGTAATTTCAACTTCATTGTTGCTACCAATTAAATATTGATATGTTGCTATATCTGATTTTTTTAAATTTTGTTTAAGGAGACCATGTGTTTGCTTGTTGCATACAAATGATTTTCCCATTCCTTCCCTCTGAAACTCCCTTTATCTAACTCAAACAGGCTTGAAGGGTAAGTTACCTTTACAAAGTGGTGGGATATTAAGTGCTACTTTCTTTCTTGTAAGCAGATCCCTGATGTTGAACCCCTTGTCTGCCATAACAGAATCCCCTCCTCAAGTTTGTCCAATAGACCACTTTTTTCTGTTATGTATCTGTCGCTGACATTTCCAGTCCATAGTTTAGAAACAAAGGTGAAATAACCTGTTGGTGAGATTCCTACTAGTGCTTTCATAGTGTTGTGCTGTTTAAAGTTACTCCAGGTGGCCCTCTGAGCACTAGGGGATGTTGGCTTTTGTAAAAATATCTCTGTACAGTCTATTATTATTCTTGTACTTGGAAACTTACAAAAAGACTTTGGTAAAGTTTTCTTAATGTCTTCCTTACAAGGCCATTTGAGAAGAATGTCATGAAAAACTGTAGACAGAAAACAAACCCAAGTTATGAAAACTTTGCTAACTAATCCCTCTGATACTCCAAATATATCTGAGAGATGTCTACTTAAAAGCCCAAGTCTGAGTCTCACTAAAGTTAAGATGAACTCTTCCATAATGGTCAAAAGTCTTTGCTTTCCAGGCTTTTTTTTGCTTGAATCCTTTTGATACCTAACATCTTTTTCTTTGTTTTTGTCCCAATACTTAAGTTTTTCTGCAAACGGCTTCAGCAAATTAAATATCATCATTAGGCAAGCCAGGCTGGGTATTCCCGTGTAAAATTTGACAGACCCGTCATTTTTTAAAACATCAACCACAGAGAGCTCTCTTTTCAGCTGTTTGTTGTTTGTTAACTTTGCTTTAAGTCTTGCGAGTTCTTCCTTCAAAGCATCAATTTCACTGGTTAAAACCTCAAAATCTTCGAAAGGAAAGTCAGTTTGAGTTCCCTTGAGATTATTTGGAAGAGGCTGACAATAATACTGATCTAAAAGAACTGCCTCGTTGCTTGTATCACTGGTATCTTCGCCTACCTAGGTAACCCTTTTACTCTTTTTAGGTTCAGGATATTCATGGAATGTTAGTTTCTTCCTAACATCAAGTCTCTTTTCACGGGAAGAAACAGGTCCTTCCTTTGCCGAGGGATTAAAATACTTCGGTAATTCACCTGGAATAATCTCTCTTCTCCCGCCAAGCAACTTTTTGAGAGAGGAAGCTTTGAAATGTGCACTGCAAATTCGGGGGTTTTTTTGACCTCGGAATTCGGGATCACTTCGTCGACAGAAGTTCTTCCAAACCCTTCTAGAACTCTGTTCTGACGGGAAACAGAAAAATGAAAGATCCGAACGATTCCTGGAACTGTTCAAGCAGTTCGCCACCGAACAAAAGTTCACGATAACTTCGGAAAATAATTGTAACTTCTACATTACAGGCAGTACACTGGTCTCTGCTTTTAATTTTTCCCGCACGCTGTCCTCTAAGCCTCGTTTACATGTTCGTTTCTAGGTCTCAGGAGCGCGCGTCCAACTATATCGAAAGGACCCTACTCGAACTATGGAACTTAACGTTAAAATAGTCATTGCGCGTGAAGCTATATATGGTGCAAATTGTGCACGAGAGAGTGTTATGATAGATAATATCATAGGTGACAAATTACTCCTTATTTTGGCGCGAAATTTCAGCGTTAAATTTTTAATTTTACATGTGAAATTACAAAATTGCCATGGTAACATTTCTTGTATCTCGATCAGAGCCAAGATGGCGTCGAGATGGTGACGTCCCCTGAAGAGGTTACCAAATTAAAAGAAGCGGCCGAAAATTTAAATACGGGAAAGAGCACAATTAACAGGGTGCGAGTTTTTGAGAAGTAGTGTGACGAAAATAGCCTTGAGAATAACCCGGAGATGATTGTTCCCGAGCAGTTAGATAAAGTACTCGAGCGATCTTATGCCTCCGTGTGCAAACAAGAAAAATGTGAACGTAATTTGTCACACACGATATCAAAAGGTAATCAAAAGGTTTTCAACAATACCTACATCTCACTCGAATCTAGTGTAACGAAAGGCCTTCTCCTTTGCTAAAAAAATTACAGAACAAAAGTTTTTGCTAACCTGACTTTCATTCACGAAGCCGTACTTGCGTGCCAATCTTTCCACCACAGCATTGCCTCCAAGAATTTTCACGGCCCATGAATTCGTGAATACCCTGTCGGAAGCAAAACTGGAACGATGGAGAAAAATCACAAAAAATACACGGAAAAGAATTTTCACCACCATTTCCCTCAAACAAAGAGGTTTAACTGCAAACCTAAGCTTCCACAAACAGCTAACAAACAGCTTAGTTCTACACCAAGTAGCCTGGGCACAAAACGTCATTCATCTATTAGTAGCCTGAGGATTAGGCTCTCTGGGGGTTTTAGGAAGGGGGGAGGGGAGGGGAGGGGAGAGGAGAAAGGAGAGCCTGACACATGCAAAGCCATATCTACGGTGGCCCAGAAGGGACAACGCTTCTACTTGAAAATGTAGTGTCGTTCTGTTAAAATGTAACTATTCTTTTCAGAATTAAACATCTTTCCTTAGAATTCTGCCATCGTTCCTTGTATATCTGCGACCGTTCCTTAGAAATATAGCTGTTCTATGGAAACAGTCACGAGATTCTTCCGTAGAAATCTAGCCCGGCCGTAGTATAAGCCGTCGCTGTTCCGTAGAAATGTAGCTCTTCCGTAGAACTCTTTGCCTCTTCCG